CCTCTCACTTCCCTCTGGAAATCCAGCCCGAACCCATGAAGGTCTTATTCAGCTGAAAAAAAAACCCAAAATAGCAGCATCCAGACATGACTGGGTTCTCTGTTTGAGATGTGAAATTTTGCATGTAAATCAAACAGTGTTTGCTGGAACATTCATTACCTGAACAAACACAGGCCACCTCTTGGGTATTACCATCCCGGAGAAAGACGAAGGGTTCTTTAGCAAGAAAAGTGTCAAGACCACTGATGTGAAAACTCAGGACTAAGAAGTTAAGGCTTTTTTCTCATCTCAAACACCTTATGTTTGCTCACAACTCCCCCAGACAGCTCTGCATTTCTGATAGAGCCGAGATCCCTAAGTGATGTCTTCAGGCATTTCTGTCTGCCCTTGGACTAGGCAGGCTGGTACAAATGTCCTTTCTTTGTGTTTCAGTCAACAGGACATTGGGATCATGACCCTGCATGTAGAATGAGGACAAAGCACCAGGTTTGTGCAGGAAGAGGGTTGCTGCACACTTCAGTGGTCCTATCTGGACCCAGTAATGCCAGAGAAGTGGGCCCAAACCAGAGTGGCCGCTGTAAATCACTGGTCCTCTTGTTCCAGGAGATAGAAGAGGTCTCGGTAGACATTAGCATCTGTAAAGGGAGCTTGTTGGCTTCTCAGCCACTGATACAAACACTGGAACTGCTCACTTGCAGAGTTTCTAGGGGCTTCTTATCCCTCTGTCCTGCTCTGCTAAGGATATGGGGACTGCTGAAAAGAATCCCACAGTGACTTCCAAACTGACTGGCATCTGGGAACATGGGTATCAAGACTCTACCCAGCATTCCTTAATTGATCAGTGCCATCCACTGTGACTAAATTCAATAAAACTTGGGCTTTATATGAACTACCTACTTCCTTAACAAAGTCTAGACCAGTAGTTTTCAACCTTTCTAATGCTGCAATCTTTTTAATACAGTTCCTCGTGTTGTGGTGACCCCCTAACCATACAATTATTTTTGATACTTCATGACTGTAATTTTGCTACTATAATGAATCATATTGTAAATACCTGCCATGTGACCCCCATGAAATTATTATTTAGCCTCCCCCCCAAAGAGGTCATGACCCATAGGTTGAGAACTTCTTGTCTATAACTTGATAGAAGGTACCTACATGACCAATTCCTGGTAAAAATCCTGGAACAAAATCCATTTATTTCTCTGGTATGCACCATGACACATGCATGGTTACAGCTCATGGCTGTGGTGTCTGGCACATCCTATGTGACTTGTATGAGAGAGGCCCCTTGGGACTTTCTGCCTGATTGCCTGTGGACCTCACCCATAGGTCTTTTGCTGTAAATCGCCCACTGGGACAACTAATCCTGTGGGGCACTGATAGCTCAGCACTCAAGGGTGGTCGTGGTGACCCTAACACAGGGGCAAGTGTCTGGTGCTGTTTCTCAGAATCCTTTGCCCTCTGTAGGCAAAATGATTTCCAGCTAAGTTCGGCCAAGAGGAGGCAATGGAGGAATATTAGACAGAGATAAACAAACAACCGAAAAGACAGACTGGACTAGTCCTGACCTCAGACCTTGTTTCTAGTAATGACTGAATCTTCAGCTCCCACCAGACAGTCCCATGGGATTTTAGGTCCCGCCACATAACCTCAACTCCTGCTATATGGTGACACGAACTACTCAGTTTCTAATTGTGGGGTTGACTCACCTCCCACTGTTTGCCTTCCCGTCTCTTCTATCACCTGTATAAACAATTCCTCTCTTTAAAAAATACCTAATGTGCTTTTCATTTTCCTAGTTTGACCCACATGCTATAAATGTCTTCCTCATGCCGAGCAAAGGGCCGTCAGGTATGAAGAAGACTATGCCGGACTCAAAGACCTTGGTGTCTAGTCACAGAGACTGCTTCTGTACATACCACAGTTGCTGGCACAACTCAAGATTCTTTCTATGACCAGAAACTTTTGTTCTGACTCCCAAGTCACAGGACCATGAGGCAATGCTCTAAGGTAGATGAGTTTCAGCCACATGCTAGACTTGGTGCCTCTGACACTTGGTTACTGACTGTCTCTTGAGCCCAGAAAATCTGTAGCAGTTACAATGTTGCTGAATTGGTGGTGGAGCACTCTTGAACCAATGTGTGTGCACATCCACAGAGTCAAGTCTTGGGCCAAATGTAGAATGATAGCAATGGTTGGGAGGTGACAAGCGAGTCTTGAATGCACAGCTCAACCAGAGGGTTGACATCTGTGTGATCGAAATGTACAGCCATGGCCGCTCTTCCCCAGATTTCATGTAAGTCTAACAGACCACTGTGGCATCTTCACTCAGATATGGTAGGCAGCAGAGGATGGTGAACTTTGTGTGGGTATCTTCAGCAGCCTCTCTCTGATGGGAGCCCCTGCTGTCCAATGGGAATCCATTCAGGGATGTGACCCCAGAAGTGTCAGAGCACCGCCATTAGACAAGCTCTTGCCAGACAGCTGAGCCACTGATGCCATGATCAGCACTGTGAACAGGGGACTGGGCTTCTAGCAAGTGGAGAAGTGTGAGGGGGACTATGTTTCAGGCTTGAGGCACAGAATAGGAAGTTTAGTGACTGGAGCAAGGTGTGACAGGAAGCGGGGGCAGGAGAGGACCTGAGGACGTGAAAGAGGGGGGGCACAAGAGTAGAGTAGGGTCTAGGTCATATACAGTCTTTTTCAGTTGATTTTTTTTTCCTTTTTAGAATTTACCTTGAAAGCAAAGTTAATGAGCTATGGAAAAGTTTGCACAGAGAATCTGAACCCAGACTTGAGCCCTTCGGTGTTTATTGTGACTGCATTGTGGAGAAAGAATTGAAAGGCATATAGAGGTAGGTTCAAGACTAATTAAAAGGTAGAATAAGAGATATCTGATGAAGGGTTGGATTTGAGGCTTGGGGTGGGGTTGTCTGCAATTTGCACACGCGCCTCGCTTGGCCGCTACTCAAGCTACTTTCATTCACAGAGATGGGGACGTCTGTGATTTGCCAAGTCTTCAGAACAAATTGTATCCCATCATGGAAATGATGAGGGTAGGCTGCACTGGGTGTAGCAAAATAAGGTGACCAACAGGCAGCTAGTTAGGGAAGTCTCCAGCTCTGGAATAGACCATGGCTGAGCACCTAATTTTGAGAGGAGCCAGGAGATACATGAAAATATAAAACCATCAGAGTTGCTGAGATGATCAGTAGACAGCACACTGCACTGGAGGAAATAGCGCAGTGTGCAGCATCTGTCTCAGAGACTGCAAGAAAGACCTTCGAGGACAGAGTAGGCAAGAGAGCTCAGTGCCTCACAATATTAAAACTTCAGTCTTCTTTGGCTTGAAAACAGACAATTGGAGGCGCTCTCGTTTCCATGTGGCTTCTCTTCTCCAACACCCGGATTGAAACTGGGGCCTCTCTGTGATATCATTGAGAGTTGATTAGACCTTTAAGAGATTAGTGTAGCTCTCATGAGACTAGGTTGGTTACTCTAAGGACAGTTCATTATAAGGCAAGGCTGCCCTCATATTTTCTCTTTGCCAGTCATGCCAACTTGCCCTCCTGCTTTCTGCCTCAGTGAGACACGGTGTGTGGTAGACAGTGTCCTTCTGATCAACTGGCTGCACCTTGCACTGTACTCAAAAAACCCATCCCATCCCCACAAAAGGATGAGAAAGCGCAAGACCTCTGCTAGACACTAAGAAGATGACAACACCGTGTTTTAAAGATTCTCAACCTGTAGAGCCATGAGCTAAATCAAACTTTTTTCTCTATAAATGTTCTAGTTCAGGTATTTTGTTACAGCAACAAAATGCACTAAGGCTTTAGCACTTTGAATACAATAATGGAGGAGGTAGAACCCAGAAGCCAGAGGCTTGGTGACAGAGGGGAAGAGAGAATGAAAAATGACCAGAATGACGTGAGTTGAGAAAAGGCTTTGTAAAATATTGAAGGGATTCAACTTGAAATTGTGTCAGTGCTGACAGGAAGCAGCTGCAAGGGAGCTGGAGCTTGAAGCCACAGGAGGAAGAGTTGATAAGAGGCTTGGCCATCAAAACCTTTGAGAAGGTGATATGAAGTATCGCGAAGACACAGATGTTTGGTTTGGACAAGGAGGCAGGGGCCCTTTCCTATTTCAAGAATAAGAAGAAAGAAAAACTTGGTAAAGCTGCAGACAAACCACAGATTTGTGGCAGAGAGATGGGGTGGGGGGAATATGAATTCCTAACTAATAACATTTCCCGTCTCCCTTTGAAATTTGAAGACAACGAGGGCACTTCAGAGGATCTGGGGTTGAAGTCAGTAGTCCTTAAACACATGACACTCTCCAAACAAAAGTAGGCAAAGCCTGGGGAGGGAAACTTCCTTTCCTTTCTCTGTACGTCTTGAAGGTACTGCAGAATGATTTCGAACGAAAACACAAAGCATGTCTAACTGTGTGGCTCTCTTAAGGACATCTACTCCCTTTACTGGGACTGGACATCAGTGTGGCTGTCCTGCAGGAAGTCCTGTGGTTGAACTTGGGCTCTCTGAGTAACTCCAGAAGGCAGTTTGCTTTGCACAAGAGGGACTCATTGCACTTGCTTGATGCATGGTTACAACTGTCTGTGTGACCTGTCTGTGGGCAGGCAGATCCCCCCTCGCTTCTGCCAGCTCATCACCCAGCTGTGTGGCAAAGCATTCCTCCACAGAAAAAGGGCCCTTTAGTCCTTCTGACCCAGCAGGAGGGCAGGGAATAGGCTGCCAAACACAGCAATGCCATTTGGTAGTTACTAGTGGCATCTGGAGGAGGGGAAAGGCTGACCCTGGAGGTGGGATGGTGAGGACGTGCCAGTATGGGAACCTGGGAGCAAAGAGGCAATGGAGGCAGGAAGGAGCACATGCAGGCATTTCAAAGCCGGGAGGGGGCAGAAGTACGTGGAAAGTCCTCGAAACAGTACTGTCCCCTCCACCAGCTGTCAAGAAAGGGGAGGAGAAATCCTCTGGGATGGGGAGGAGGGTGGGAGCCGTTAGGCAGTTATTTAAGAGACGACTTTCTGGTCACTTTGCCTGAGTCCTTTTGAGGAAGTACTCAGAGGCACACAACCAGCCTACCAGGGCACCCTCTCAGGAGCTCAAGCAGGTAAGAGACTTTCAGAGCAGGACTGTCCCAAGCTGTGGCTGTCCCTCTGGACCTACATTTCTGCATTTCTAAAGGGTTTGGGGAGGGTCAGAGGCAGTCTCTCTCTCCAGTTCCCAACTTTTACCTATGAGCTTGCAATGTTTAGTCCTACTTCTAAGGACTTCTTTGAACTCCAACAAACTCTGCTAGGAGCACGGCTGGTGGAGAAGACTCTTTGATGGGGTTGGGAGTGGGGTTGCTCCTCCAAGAGCAGGTCTGCTTGCTTAAGGGAAACCAACTGTGGAATGTGGAGTAAGGTTAGAAGAGGGGGCAAGGCCATCTGAGAATGACCACCTGGCTAGAAGACGGCATGTTCGGTTGCCCTGACCTGGTCATTCCTTACCCCATATTAACAGTGTCTAAACCAAAGCCCCTTTCCCTTTGCTGCATCTACCAAGAAGGATAGTTCCCCCTCCTACACTCACCCAGTGGCGGACACTACCCTCTCTTGATCAGTGCCTGGAATGCTCCAATTCTTTGCTTTACTTGCTCTCTCCCAGAAGGCTGCCTGACTGCCCAGCACTGCTCCCCACACCCTGCTGCTGGCCTCTAGTGACCAGTCAGTGTGTCTTTGCTATTGACAAGATTCCAGAGGGTTGTGCTCTCTTGTTTTCTTTGTCATTAAACCTTTTGATTAATCACCTCCCCTGCCTCAGCTCAACAGAGATTACCTGTAAATCCTGAAAGGTGTTTGTAGATACCCACTCCTGCTTCCTTCTTCCAAGAGCCCCTGTCTCCTCCCAAGAGCAGATACCTTACCAAGCGGTTCTGTGCTCAGCCTCGCTCCTCTCGTTGCTACAACCATCTAATCAAGCTGATTCTGTAATAGCAACATGACATCTTGCAAGGGTGTGCCTAGTTTTTACAAACAGCCAGGTTGCCAGGAGTCACTGCACGGTGGGTCAGGTAAAGAGAGTTCAGAAACAAAGTCCCCCTTCATTTTGACCAGTTGGTCAACAAGTTCTTATTGGGCCCTGAAGTTAAGGTGTGTAGTGTTTAGACTGGCTGGTCGCCTTCACAAACCCGGAGGGAAGAGGAAGCAGGCCAGACCATGTCAGAGCACAGCCTACTCACAATCCAACTGAACATAGCCACAGTCTCCATGCCACACACCCAAACAGCATCATGTGCGACTCTTGTCGGGTCCATTCCTAACCCCACTCTACTGTAATCTCTTGGGAAAGAGGTGCTGTTTTGGTTTCTGTTGTACCTACCTAAGTACTAAGATCACAGCCAGGCTCACAAGAAGCCCCCATTAAGTAGTGACAAAATTAAATGGCTGGTCTATTTTATCTATCATCTATCTATCTATCTATCTATCTATCTATCTATCTATCTATCTATCTATGCTATAATTAAATGAAGACTTTAACGACTATCCTAATCTGGATGTGTTTTCATGAGTCTGATTCTCACAGTGACTTAGGTTTGGTGAATCTCCATGAGATGAGTAAGTGCATGCACCTACAAACGTATAGGCTTTGGGGATTTGGGGAGAGGAAAGTTCTGCTGTCTGTAGTCTTGAACGATTTTCTTTGCTTCAAGCAAACACTCTTTCTTGTGATCTCTTTATGTTTTAACAAGCAGGACGTCTCCCTGAGATCCTCGGGGAACACTCTCTATCCCTAGGCTCATCCTCACTGCTACCTCTCACTCTCATTTGTGTGGGATGTGCATGTTGCTTGTCGTTGCTGTGCACAGGTGCATCTCTCTCTCTACTTTAGAATCTGGGCCACAAGTGATGCTCATCTCACACCCCTCTTCCATGGACTTTCTTCTCCCATTCCCAAGGATCCAGTAAAGCTGAGAATGTCAGATACTCCAACGACCACCTTTGGGGGCAGGAGAGCAGTGCCCCCCAACAATTCCAATGCAGCGGAAGTTGACCTCCCAACTGAGGAGCTGCAGGGCGTGGTGCCCAGGGGTGTCAATCTGCAAGGTAAGAGCAGCACACCACTGTATCCAGTAGAGCCAGACCCCCTTTCCCATGAGGGATCTGTGGAAGAACTTGTCCCACTAAGATCTACAAATGGCAACCTCTCAGTCTCTGGTGTCCAAGAAAGGGTCCCAAAACTCTTTCAAGATGCAAAAACACCAAAGTTTCTGAATGACAGTCCTAGTTTGGACATTTGCTGATCTTGTCATATAGGGAAGTCACTTCCTCTTTCTATTTCTCAGTCATTCTTTTTACAAAACATGCTGGATCCACTAAGGCCTCTTCTACCCATAATGTTCAGAACTTTGGAGAATGTTCTCTAGCTTTAGAACATTCCACTTCTAAAATATTGTGGCTGCGTCTGATTGTCTGGCTTGCAACTCCTTCCTTCTCTCGCCTCCATCCATGGCTGTGAATCTCAGAGCTGGTGCGCGGTGCCAGATTCTGACAGTAATAGAGATGAAGCCCTCCATCTCCTGAGCAGCCAGCGAAGGAGGCGGCGAGGCAAGCTGCTTCCTCCGCCTCTTGCCTCTGCCTCCTCCTGAGGGACCTGCTCTGGGTGCAGCAGCCACCAGCTGACCTCCTCTTGGCCCTGTCAGCTGTGACAGGGTCCAGATGCCAGCACTGGCTTGGTGATACAGAAGCCATTCCCTTGGGGAATGAGCAGGGACATTCAGACTCTTGTCCCTGGATGGCATCTAGCTGGCAGGACATTGTGGAATATCGTTTATGCACCAAAACCCGGTTTTGTTCCTGTGGGCTCTCAGTGTTGAGTTTCCTGGGGGACAAACATCTACTTGCTGAGGTAGGTACAGACAGTCACACACTGACTCTTAGTGCCCAGAAACTAACTCTCCCAGCTAAGTGCCACATTCTAAACCCGGACATTAAAGTCACAGAACTGGGGTATGCAACCAGCCAGCCTCAGCTTCCTTTGTTACAGGTTAGAATACTGGCCTAAAGCCATCAGTTGATATTCTTTACCTCTTTACTGCCCATGCTAGAAGTCCTTTTGTTTTTTATAAGAATGCAAATAAAATCGAAAAGACTGCAGACACAAAGCTCTCCCATGGGTCACCTGGGGATATTCAACTTTCTTGTAAAATTCCCCTCTGGCAGAAAAGGCACTGTACTCTGGGAAGGAGTACATTGGCTCCAGCAGAAGTCAGGCATAGGGAAAGAAAGAGGAAGGGGCTCAGACACCCATACCAGGATACATGAGGACACATGGATCTCTGGGCAGGTGGTAAGGAGCCCAAAGTATATTCCTGGTCCAGGAGGCAGAAAACGCAGTGACTCAGCATCCCTAATCACTATAACTTATTAATGACATATTTCAGCGTCCATATTTCAGTATGTGTTTGTTCAGGGTTTTTCACTGTATGCTGTGAGGATGGAGCTTCTGAATCAAGAATCACAGCGGAGTAATCTCAAGAGAGCTAGCTGGACAGGTGAAAAAAATATCAGTGTACATAGTCTGTGAATCAGGCTGTTACTCTGCAGAGTTCGATTTCTGTTTGTCTAAAAGCACAGAGAGTTTGGCACTAAACATATGAAGCCTTCCCACCTCCAAACCACCCCCAAATCATCTTAGAATTATGAATGCTCTAAAAGGCAGTAAGGCTTTCGCCCTGGTTCACTTAGTCATCTTGCAGTTCACCCAGTGGCCACTAGTGGACCCCGGGAGCACTGATGTGCACTGACTTCAGGGTCACCTGAGCCCCATATCCAATTCTCTATCTCCACCACTAGTCCTCAAGGGTAACTTTTCATTTTGAAAGCTGTCCTTGTAAAATTAATTGAGCAGCTCACAGAAACCAGGAGAGGAAAAGAAAGGAAATGTCTGGCTCTTCGTTTTAATTAGCCCCGTAGCTGTGAATACTAATGGTTACTGGGAAGTATTTGTGAATATCCAGTATACCCAGAATGTGGCTAATATGTGTATGTGACAGACTTTCACCATAGCTAGAAATAGTTGATTAAGAACTGTTTTATGAGAGTGAAGCATGCCATATTTCCAACCACTTGAAAAGCTGAGGTAAGAGGATCACTTCAAGGCCAGCCTGGGCAACATAGCAAGCACCCTTCTCAAAGTATTATTTTAGTAAAGTTAAAAAAACTAAATCAGACTGTACAAATTTATGTAGGCTTCCCCAAATACTTTCTTAGTATTTAAGAAAAACAGATCTATTTGAGATTTTAATGGGACCTCAGAGGTAGGACTAAGCTGTAGACATGTCTGATGTTATCACATACTTTAAGAGATCCTTTGTGTTCCCTGTGTGTCCCAAACAGGAAAATTATCATGAATATTACTTAGAATGACATACATTGTGTGTGTGTGTGTGTGTGTGTGTGCACTGTGGGTGTACATGGAAGCTAGAAATTAATGTTGGCTGTCATCCTTGATTACTTTACCTTTTGTATTTGGACTGGGTTTCTCACGAACCTAGCTCATTGGTTTGGCTAGTCTAGACAGCCAGCTTGCTCTAGAGATCCTCTGCCTCCATCTCTGAAGTCAGGGCTAGGATCCAAACTCTGGTCCTCATCCTTATCAGCTGAGCCATCATTCCAGTCCCACAGTGGCATCAGTTTCTAAAGACTGTTCTACACATTCAGTTGTGTTTCTGCAAAATCTCTCTACAGCCTTCCAGGTTTCAGGTTCTGTGTGGCTAGAAATGGAATGTTACATAAGTCTACTTCATCCTCTTGGGCTGTGGGACTCTGTTATGAACAGAGAGGCCATTTGTAGCAGTTATTAGAATATCTACATGGCAGGTCTATTGTATTGAGATCAACCAAGGAAGCAAGAATAGCCTGGTGAATGTCCAAATGGAGGCAGATCCAGCACTTTTTTTTTTTTAGGATAGTGGGGGATTTGAGTGTTTTCCTAAGAATTTATTCCTTCCCATAATTCTTTGTCAGAACCAAACCAATCTCTCAATCAGTTAGCAATAAACTTCTCCTTGGTGCCAAGAAGACTCTTTTGTTCAGGGTTACTGAAAGAATGAGAAAGGCATTCATTATGTGATGAATAAATGAAGTTATGAAGTGAAGTTCATCACTTACCCAGTTCACAAAAAAAATAGATTTGGTGTCATTTACATGTTAGAAGTGATTCCAGAGTCTGAGAACAAGAAGAGGAAGCCAGTCTCTAACTTCAAGTGGCTTTCATTCTAAGAAGAAAAAAAAGAAAAAGAAAAAAATCACTGCAATTGAGTCTAATAAAGACTAATTGAAATTTGGTAAATTGCTGTAAAACAATTAGAGAAAGAAATATAGGTCTTGTGGCGTGGTGGAGCAGGAAAGAGGATGACGAAGGCTTCTGGAGAGCAGAGACATCTCAGCTGTGTCTTGTAAGATGACAAAGAATGTTTCAGATACGCTAGGCATGGCAGTAGACTTCTAATTCTAGCACTTGGGAGATGGCAGTAGAAGGGTAAGCTGTCTTCATCCCCAGCTATGTGATGAGTTCAAGGCTAGTCTATGTGACTAGGAGATTCTCTCTCTCTCTCTCTCTCTCTCTCTCTCTCTCTCTCTCTCTCTCT